GAAAACAAAGTTGATGAATAAAGTTGAAACAAAGCGGAACAGAAGAAGAAATCAATTTCTTACCTGCCACGGGCCTACGGCCATGCCTCTCCCAGAAAGACGCCCATGTGCGTATCCCCACCGTATGGGGGAGTACGGCCTCGACCCACTCACGTATCCAAGACAATGGGGCCGGCGGCGACCTGTCGCTACAAAAAACGACACGAGTTAACGCTCATGATCACAAATCATAAAGAGGGGAAGAAAAGGGAATTCAACCACTAAAGAACTTACGCGCATGGTTCCAAGCCTCTGGGAACCCGGTAGCATCCGCCACCAGATGCTTGGTCCTGATGTAAAAGAAGTGCTCGAAAGGGCGAGGGTCGACCTCGTCATCCAATCTCATGACCAGGCCCCTCGACCCACGAGGGCACGCCTGAATCATGGTGCCACGGACTCTCTGGGGAGCGTAGAGACTCAGCACATGTTGCAGCGTGACCTCCCTACGGGCCAATTCCGCGTACTTGATGAACATTGCCAACAATTTGTAGAGGGAAGGAGTGAGCTGACCCGGGCACACCCCGTAATAACGGCAGAAATCCACCACCAGCATTGGGAGCGGGATCTTGAACCCCAACCTGAAAGGATAGGCGTAAAAAATGCAGTATCCCCTGCAGTCGGTGTGGACCCTCTCCTCGCTTCTAGCGAGAATGATGTCTGCATGGGTGGGAATGACCCCCTGTTCCCGTAATCGGGCCATCCCAATCTCCCCCATTAACGGGGCTTCATCCACCGGTTCCACTCCACCGTCGATAGTGAAATCAATCGCCGGACCTCCGGGCCGAGGAACTACCTCGTCAACCGACGGAACTTCTCCAGTCTCTATCTGTTCTGCACCTCCCATTGCCGGAGGTGGCCCTTCAACTACCGGAAAATCTATCGGAAGAGCATCGTGGGAAGAACTGCCTGCCATTGCTGATCTACTAAAGACAAAGGTTATCACAATCAAAGGAAAGAAAGGAGAAGATGAATTAGCGGAATGAAAAAGTTTCCTCAGAATCTCTCTCAGATGAACAATGAAGATATGGGAAATGAATGCCTCAACCCACCTTTATAGGCAACATAAATGGCTTTCGCGAAACCCAATAGCCATCATTAACTGCACGACCAACCGTAAAACGGTTCGGTTCTGCCGAAGCAAGCGTCATCATGACAAGCTCCGCAAAGCGGCTTCTCAGCCATCCGCCAACGTACCGCCGTCAGAATAATCGCTACGGCCTGCGAACGTTGAAAGAATGTGTCGTACGCCTTCAAAATTCTGGACGTGACCAAATACGTACCCGGCGCATACTCATTCCCTACGGCCATCTCTAATGTATGAAAGGCTACGGCCATCTCCAACGTGTAAACGGCTAAGGCCACCGTCGAGCACGTATCAAGCGTGCCCCCATTCCCCTCGGCCGCACAACATACGACTCGTCCGCCACGGCCGACGGGTATGCTTCCAAAACAAACATAAGGATCAGAGCACAATGCAGCTCGACCTCATTCGAAGTAAGTTAAAAGGTCAAGTGCCTTCCGCCAGGAGGAGAGTTCGACCTCGATCGAACGATGACTTGAGAGCCCAATAACAGGATACTAATACTCTACAAGGCTAAGGACCATCGCCAAAAAGAATTCGGCCTCGACCGAAGCAACAGTCAACATCCCCATCCGTGTTTCTCGAAATACAGCCAATGGAATCCACTCATCGAGCTCGGCCAAGGCCCGACCTCAATAACCGGAGGGCCTACTGTATGGGTCAGAATTCGACCCCACGATAATTAACGAGGCTAATCCCGTTTTAAGTTAATTCATGATTAATTAGTGGCACGACCATTCAGAATTGACAATGTTCAGCCCGCATCTGGTTCGATCGACAAGGCCATGGCCTATCCGCCACCATAAAGGCAAGATCCCAACGTGGTCACGGCCACTTATTGCCACCTCACGAAGCTCACAGCTATAAATACCAAGAGAGAGAGCCCTAGAAAGGGGGCTGCTTCTTCACCACTATTGAGAAGAGAGAGAGAGAGAAGAGAAAAACATACCCATCCTATGGGAAGTGAAAACACAATTGTAAGGCTCTGAACCTCTTCATGGAGAGGCAGACCAAACCAATATTATCAATAAAGGCTTTTAATGTTTCTCCCCCTTAATCCTGAGTATTAATTTTTGTTTCCTTCATTTGGTCCAACGGATTATTACGGTTTGCTATGATTTTCCCGTGATTTATATATATTGTTTTATACTCATAAGATGTGTGACAACTTTTGAGCAAACAAGTTCCGGTAAGTTCTCTATCTAACTCCGGTAAAGCCGGAGAACCCGCTCTGATACCATGTGAACGAAATAGAAAGAATAACTTGTGTTCTCATTCCAAGAGGTGAGCAATATAAATACATGTACATCAGATGCTAACTAAGGAAAGAAATAAAAGAGATTCCTATAAATCTGCTATTTATGTACACTACTAAGAAAGAGTCTACATTCATTCTATAATAAGTGTCTAGATTCATCCTATAATAAGTATCTAGATTATCCTATAATAAGTGTCTAGATTCATTCTATAACAGCAACAAAACTGCTGAAGTGAAAGATAACGAAGTTTTCAGGCTAAATGCTTCTAGTCGTCAATATGAAGATGTTAAGCATGATTTTCTTCGTTTTTGCTATTTTGAAAACTCCATTTTCAGATGTTCTCCACTCAAGGCATTGTTGTGTTATAGGGTCATTATCTCTACCTATATGAGTTCATCTCTACTTTTTGCAGAAGGGATTAAACCTGGCCATTTCTCCCATATTTTCTTGGATGAAGCCGGCCAAGCATCAGAACCAGAAACTATGATCCCTATGGCTAATCTTTGTCGTCAGGACACAGTAGTCGTACTTGCAGGAGATCCTAAGCAATTAGGTCCAGTTGTATACTCTGAAGATGCAATGAAATTTGGGTTAGGAATATCGTATTTGGAGAGATTAATGACATGCGAACACTACAGCAACGGGGATATAAAAATTTCATCACGAAGCTTGTTAATAATTATCGATGTCACCCCACTATTCTGGACCTCCCCTCCAGGCTCTTTTATAGTGGAGAACTGATTGCATCTAAAGAGGATACGTCGTCTCAGAAGTATTTGCTACAACTTCTTCCCTGTAAAGATTTTCGGATACTCTTTGTTGGCATTCAAGGATGTGAAGAAAGAGAAGGAAATAACCCGTCCTGGTTTAACAGAATAGAGGTAAGCAAGGTAGTTGATCTTATTAAAAAGCTCAGAGCAAGTGCAGATGTTAAAGAAACTGATATAGGCATTATAGCACCTTATCGACAGCAAGTACTGAAGATATCTAAGGTCCTAGAGATATTTGATGTTAAAGTTGGAAGTGTTGAGCAGTTTCAGGGACAAGAAAGAGATGTTATTATTGTGTCTACTGTTCGATCCACAGTCAAGCACAATGAGTTTGACAGAACTTACTCCATTGGTTTCCTCAGTAATCCCAGGAGGTTCAATGTTGCAATTACAAGGGCCAAATCATTGCTCATTATTGTTGGCAATCCACACATAATCTGTAAGGTATGTTCTTCTTTAGCATCCCAACCTAAAAAGAAAAATGAATTAATAAGAAAAAGAAGAGAATAGCTGCTTCAATTTCTCCCGCAGCTTTGTATTTTTTTGATAATAACACTCCAGTGTCTTCATTATGTAGCTTGATTTGGTCTGTATAACTTCATTATGTAGCTTGATTTGTTAATACCATGACTTCCTATACATAGTATAATACCAAATAGGGTGTATAACTAATGCATAGGTTTAAAAAGAGTACCAAACAAGATATTATTAATACACAAAGCTAATGCCTGCATTATTTTATCTAATGCATCCTACTAAACGACTCCTTAGGGATGTTGCAATGATATCTCTGCTTATGATTTGATCCAACATCTAAAAGACAAAGCTAAGTAAAGCTGCAGAAAAAGCGGTGGTTGTTGGTGATTAAAAACACAAGAGTGGAGGGTGAATTGGCTGCTCGTTACTAGTATGTTCAAAACTTTAAGAAGAGGGTCACGGGACCCGTTAACTTCGGCAAATTTTTTATATTTAAGTTTGTATATGTTAAAAATGCTCATTTATTTTGCTTGGAACCCTTAACATCAAAAGTTCCATGGGGTTAGTTTGCTTTATGTGCCCCGGCACCTTCAAATCCTTGGTCCGCCTATGCTTTCAGTCATGGGCGGATCTACTAAGGCCCCAGGCGGTGGTACGCTTGAAACTCTGTGTATATATATAAGAAATCGCATATATATATATTTAAAGCGCCACCCATAATAGCATATGATATAAAAGTGCTAGTGGAAAAGGGTTGGAGATTCCACCTTGCTTGTAAAGGATTGAACCTAGTAGCAATAGCTTTGGGTTACATCACGTTAAGCTTTCTATCATTCCTTATATTCCATTCTCTTTTTTCTACTTCTGTAATTATTATTAACTACCTTACTTTATTTATTAACTTTTGACTTTCTTTTTGTGTCTGTTACTAGTTAAGTAGTTGCTTTTTTCACACAAAGTTAAGCTAACATTTTCTTTTGCAAATTTTCGCTCTATCATAACTGTATTACCATATATTTCGGTTTAATCGATTTATATAACATACCAAAAAGACAAGTAACCCGAACCGAAGTTACTCAAACCTACAAAATATTTACTCTATCTCAATGTATAAATAGCGACACATGGATACGCCTCTCCTTGGAAAGGGTTACACTAGATGAATATAATCTCGTTTTCCTCACACGTAAAATATCACCAATGTGATTTATTTATTTTCGATCACCACGAAGGAATAAGACATATTGGAGCTTTGTAAGGGACTTTTGAGATAGGAATGAAATTATGTCCAATTTTGCATACCACATGCTGCCAAGAAAGTAGCCCTTATTTTGATTTGTCTTATCCTCTGTCACAAGATGTCCACAGGTTTTTAAATAACAACTTTTTAGCTATATATAGCAAGTAGTACCAAGTCTATCAGATGGAAGCTTAGTAGAAATTAGCAGCAGCTACATTCTTATATGGAATCAACAAGAATCACTCTCCGTCCATATAGATCAACTGATGTTGATGATCTACTATTATGGGGAGGTGATGATCGAGTAACCAAGTCAATCCATTTCAATACTTTGACTTCCAAAGAAGATGCATTGACCTTCATAGAAAAATCATCCATTCCATGGCGTCGATCCATATGCATCGATGACCGTTCGATTGGAATCGTGGTGGCGCGCCCCGGATCGGATGATGACAGGTGTCGAGCCGAGATAGGATATGCTTTGGCAGTTGACTACTGGGGACAAGGGATCACTCCTAAGGCTGTGAAAATGGCAATCCCTCTGATTTTCAATGACTTTCCTGAAATAGTAAGGTTACAAGCATTATCTGATGCTAATAATAGAGCATCCCATAGGGTGTTGGAGAAGGCTGGATTTGTTAAGGAGGGCATGTTTAGAAAATATTTTTACTTTAAAGGGGAAATTAAGGATGTTGTACTTTACAGTTTACTTTCCACTGATTCTGTACCTTCATTAGATCCATAAAATTTCAAGATCTGTGATTTCAACATCATTTTCCTGAACCCCTTTCTGTTGTTTCTTCATGAACAAGTCTGTTGTACTTTTTTTTTTTTTTTAACAAGACTTTGAATAGTATAATAGTGACAATGAGGTGCCAATGAAAAAGATAATATGAAAATTAAATGGAAAGACTACTATCCAAAGTTATCTGTGATTATCTTGAAATGCAATTATTTTGTTGATGTGGTATAGGCAGTACCCATTAACTTTGACCATATTAATAAATTTATATAGGCAACTGTACAAATATTTAGATAAATATTCTATCCTATTACATGCCAGTATGCCACAGTGATGCCTTCTAAGGAATTACGATTGCCAATTCAGGCTAACATCCTACAAGCAGTGGCGGATGCACATAGGCAACTGTACAAATTTATATAGGCAGTAGTACCCATTAACTTTGACCATATTAATAAATTTATGTAGGCAACTGTACAAATATTTAGATAAATATTGAGCGAGCACCCACAAGTAAATTCATTTTTCCTCTTTTTTTGAAGTTTTTATCGGCGAGCACCCATAACAAAATCCTGGATCCGCCACTGCCTACAAGCATTGTGTACAACGAGCTTTAAAGAAGAGGCTCCATCTTTGTCCGCCAACATCTTGGTCTCAACAAGAGGAGGTGGAAATGCCAAATAGACTGGTTGATTCATGTTGGACTGATTGATTACTTCCCTAGCCAAAAGGTGGGCTACTTCATTTCCTTCCCTAAAGTTATGCATATATAATCCTCGACTTTCCCATCCTGGACAGTAACAATCCGCAGTCATAAATTAAGGCATCTTAAGTAGGATATCCATGCTTCAGGTATTTTATCACCTCAGTTGAGTGAATTTCCACATTCATAGCCACTTGGAGACGTTGTCTGAGACCTTTACAATTCCTTACCCGACCTCCCACATAGAGGCATATTTAGGATTTCAAGAGAATGGTTGCACCACTACATTTAAGATGGAAGTTTAGCCGTATTATATAAAATTTTACGATGACAACAAGTTGACGAGCAAACTATAATTAATTAATACTACTATTCTCGCAAAACATCATTTGTTTTATAATTCCCTTCGACGAGTATTCATACTTTAAAAACAATCGGTAGTAGCATCATTAAGTACCTTACGCTCTGTATAGCAAACTAAAGTGATGCGAATATTTAACTTTGGACCTCTAGTTTAGACTTTCTAAATAAAAGAAAAAGAATGAAAAAAGAAAAGAAAAGAAATAAGGTCTAGAGATAATGCTCCTAAAGAAAAAAAGAGTAAATTGAAAGGGTAAGAGGGCTAACTGGTGAGCAGTAGTGCACTCAATCACCACTGCATCAAAGTGCTATCTGAGTATGGGTTACACATTAAAAAATTAAGTAGAAAATCAACAAAGTAGTAGTGCTGTACATAGTTTAGGGAGGGTAGCTTGTATACCATTCTACAGGTGGTTTATGGCGTCGAATATGTACAAGAATTTTTTTGGTGGGATTACTTTCTCTATAATAGCCTGTTTGGCCAAGCTTCTTTTGAGGCAGAAATACTTTTTTTTGGTCAAAAGTGCTTTTTTTCTAAAATTAAGGTATTTGGCCAAACTTTTGAAAGGAAAAAAAGTGCTTTTGAGGAGAAGCAGAAGCAGTTTTGGAGAAGCAGAAAAAAGTAGCTTCTTTCCAAAAGCACTTTTGAGAAAAATACACTTAAAAGCAGTTTTTTAAAGCTTGGCCAAACACTAATTGCTGCTCAAAAGTACCTTTGAAATCCATTTGCCAAACACAAACTGCTTCTCACCAAAAGTAGTTTTGAGAAAAACATTTTTGAGAAAAAGCACTTCAAAATAAGCTGATTTTTGCAGCTTGGCCAAACGGGCTATAAGTCTGTTTACCCTAAAATTTGGATAACAATTAAACTTATAATATAGTTTTAACCAATTGATAAACGTAAAGATAAGTGATGAAAATTGATTAATATAAAGCAAACCAGCGTTTGGATAGAGTCCTCGAGCTTGAATACCCTCGAGCTAGTTATGCAAGAACAGTTAAAATGCTACAAGCTAATAAATAAGAGAATGTGAATTAAAGAGAGAATATTGTATTGCTTTAATCGGAGTGAATGTAAGGTGTCTACAAAATGATTAGGACCCCCTTTATATAGTAGATGAATTCTATTTAACATACAATTCTAACTATGGAAGTAAATCCCATGATTAACTAGATAACCGCCCTTGGTTTGATCTGTTCCGAGATCTACGCCATGATCTTCGGCCAGTCACGAATATCTTGCCTTTGCGTTACTACGCTTTGCTCGAAGTTTGTCACATTTGGTCATGGTCGTTGTTGGCCTCGATCTCGGCAGGCACCTCGATCCTCGGACTCGATGCCTCGTCTTCGTGCTCTAGTCTGATTCATTACGAGGCTACCCCTCGATGCAGTTCCCTTGTCTAGATCAAATAGCATAATTGGGTGGGCCCGGTTTTAGCCGTATACAAAGTCAAAAGCTTATATTCCACATCATGATCATGATTTTACGGCCAAGTCCTAACTCACAAGCTCAACGGTTTGACTCAAAGTTATTTTTACAAAACTTACATATGTTAGAACCGAAAAAAGTCAGGTGTCATGCGGAGCTAGCAAAGCAAACCTTGAACAACGATAAATCATACAACAGAGAAATATACCAAAAGAGACACAAACAGTTAACGTGGTTCGGTCAACTGACCTACATCCACGGCGGAGATGAGCAATCCACTATAATAAAAGAGAGTACAAAATATCGAGAGAACAACCTCACGAAGAGGCAAACACAAGTGACACACTAACACTTGTCCCGTAAAGTTCTCCCCCTAAACACGACTCTCAAACCCCATATGGCTACATTGTGGATGCTACTGAATGTGAAGGAAAGGTCCTCAATTTATAGAAGTCCAAACCTTTTTGATGGGTTTTTAATGTCTTGGCCTTATGCGTCTTATGTTTTGATAATTTAACAAACTTGTCGTGAAGAACCAGATAGAGAACCTGGCAACCTGGCCCACAGGGTATACACTTCATGTGACTTTGTTGAAGTATGAAACAAGCACAAGTCAGTGACTGTACGCAATCAATATAAAGAGAAACACAATAGGGCCATGTTCCCTTAGGGTTCTCTGACAGAAGTACAAGTCAAATACACAGCTGGAACGTAGCAGAAGAAAGTGACCATCTAGCAGCTGTACAGAAGAGGAACACAACTAGGACCTGGTCTGTTGGTGTGTCCTGATAAGAAGTACAAAGTCCACTATTCAGCTGGAACGCAACTGCCCAGAAGTGGCTGTGCAGACTGTACAGCAGTCACTTCTCATTGGAAGAAGCGTACACCAAGAGTTGACATCGCTATCCTTTGTGCTATCTTTGTGATAAAACAACCTGGTGCAAGACACACCATTCTTTGTGCATTCAGTGATATTCTCTCAAGTATAACAACGTTCATCCTGCATTGAAGTTACTGGTGTGTCAAGAACAAGAAGACAACTCCACTAAGGATCAGTTTCTTAATGAGTTTATGTACATCCGTAGTTGAGTTGTAATCTTGTTGTTTGCTCTTCATTGTATTTCCTAGTTTGCTTTCTTAGAAGCGTTGTCTTAGGAACAAACCAAAATTCATAAACTTCTGAGTTTATGTTGTGATTAGGGATAGTCATAAGTTTAAAGCCTTTGTAACTAGGATAGTTATAGAGTGACTTGTGGTGGTTGCATCACAAGTTAGTTTGAAGTCTTTGCAATAGGGTTTTTGCAAAGTGGCTTGTGGTGGTTGCATCACAAGTTAGTTTGAAGTCTTTGCAATAGGGTTTTTGCAAAGTAGCTTGTAATAGGCAGATTGCAAGTTAGTGGAGTTAAAAGCCTACAAGAGTAGGTCGTGGTTTTTTGATCCCCTTGTGTGGGATTTTTCCACGTAGAAAATCTCTTGCCTTCTTTACTTTCAGTCTTTACTGCATTCTAGGCATCATCTCATAGAGGACCAGGTACTCTATAGTTTGGTGAACCCATATAAGCTTACAATTGGTATCAGAGCGGGTTTCTCCTATCAGGATAACACCTAGGAAGGATCCTCAATGGCTACTCCACCAAACTTTGAAGAAGGACAATCAACCTATAGACCTCCCAGATTCAATGGTCAATACTATGGCTGGTGGAAGACTCGCATGCATGATTTTATGATGGCAGAAGATTCAGAACTGTGGGACATTATTTGTGATGGTCCACATGTTCCCATGAAGAAGATTGAAGAAACAGGACAAATGGTGCCGAAAGGCAGAGAAGAGTACAACGACATTGACAGAAAAGCTATAGAAAAGAACTATCGTGCCAAGAAAATCTTGATGTGTGGCATAGGACATGATGAGTAAAATAGAGTCTCAGCTTGTGACATTGCCAAAGAAATATGGAGGCGTTGCAAACCGCTCACGAAGGAACCACTCAGGTCAAACAATCCAAGATTGACATGCTCACCACAGAATATGAGCTCTTTAGGATGAAGGATGATGAATCTATACAAGATATGCACACTAGATTCACCTCCATCATAAATGAGCTTCATTCACTTGGAGATGTCATTCCCAGAAACAAGCTTGTAAGGAAAATCCTCAGTGTCCTACCTGGGTCTTGGGAAAGTAAAGTAAATGCCATCACTGAAGCTAAAGATCTATAGACTCTGACCATGGATGAGTTGATTGGTAATCTGAAGACATATGAGATGAAAAGAAAGAAAGACAGTGAAAGAAGAGAGCCCAAGAAGGAAAATAACCCGGTGCTTAAGGCTGAAAGCAGTGATTCAAGTGATGAAGATAGTGACATGTCCTATCTCACTAAGAGATTTCAAAAGATGGTTCAAAGAAATGGTGGTATACCAAAGTGGGGCAGTTCAAGTAAAACAAGGAACAACGATCCCCGTCAAAGATGTGGAAAGTCAGGGCATTTCATCAAAGACTGCCTACTCGCAAAACAGGAGCAATACAAGCAAAATCCTGACAAAGCAGGAAAAAGGAACCTGGTTCCAGATAAAAGATTCAATCGAAAGGGTGCTGCAGACAATATTGTTAAGCAGGCTCTTGCTGCTTGGGAAGACTCCTCGAGTGAATCCGAAAGGGAATCAGATGCAGAAAACAGTTCCATGATGGCAGTGGAAACTGAAGCAACAAAGTACAACTCATTGTTCGCACTGATG